TTTTAAGGAATTCATCCAAATGGCTTCACTAGCTCTGAGTGTCATAAACAAACCACAGCATTCATAGCCACATTGGTAACTCACCTTAAAGTGTTAGCTCACCCTTTCAGAAAAAATTAAATGGTGAACTAACACCATATAATATCCCCAGCCCCCCAGTCCTCATCGTACTTACCTCCATGGGTGATGAGCTGTCAGTTCTCACGCAGCCAGTGTAGAGGCCTGGGAATCTGAAATCCCCGCACTTCTCTGCGGGGCTTCTGGGAGAGATCAGAGCAGTTTTGATTGGTCAGAGGTGGCACAGGGAATACCTCTGATCTGTCCCTAAGTTGGACTTTAATACATGACAAAAGATTCCCAAAGCAATATGGCTAAGGTCGGGGGCGGACTGACCATTTGAGCACTCGGGCACTGCCCGAGGGCCCGGGGTCAGTAGGGGGCCCCATGAGATGCCCCTGGTACCTTTTTCATAGGCTTTTTTAAGTTTGGTGTAGTGTAGGCCAGCTGGGGGGGAGTCAAAAGGGGGACAACCTTGTTCGGGCATGGTTTACTATACCGCGGGCTCTGGCCCTTTTGAAACTATTGTCTTGGACATAGTTCAGCATGCCATCTGGCCCTCTGGAACAGATGGACTTGGTTCAGAGCAGGGGCGGACTGACCATTTGGAAACTCGGCACTGCCGAGGGCCCGGGGTCAATAGGTGGTCCCATGAGATGCTGCTGGTACCTTTTTCATAGGCTTTTTTGAGTTTGGGCAAGGACACAGGGGCCCCATGATCCCCTTTTGCCTGGAGGCCCCATGAGTTGTTAGTCCGCCCCTGGCTAAGGTAAACAAACAGTAAACACAAACTTCTTTGTAGATCCTCTTTTTTGACTGACTCTTGTTTTTTGCATCACAGCACTGCTGATTTCCAGCATTGGCATTGGCTGCACACTATTACTCTGGACCAGTTTGGTGAGAAAAGTGGATCGTGCCTATGTGTCATCACTGCCTTTTTTTATCGGAAACTGAGCACACGTCATAGGTAGGGGTAAGGTTAGGATTTGCAACAACCATTTTTTTTTTTTTTTGCAAATCCATAATGCACTGTATGGTCAACGATAGGGATGAGCTTTGAGTTGTGATGCAGAGCCTACAGCAACTTTATCTGATCATGGTTCAATGAACAGGAGAACTAAATGGCCAGATTTGGTTTGTTTGCCTGCTTGAACCTCTGGATGCTACGCCATCAAGAAGACATTTACTATTACTAACGCCACTAAATGAGCACTTCCCACCCTACATGCCGTAAGCATCTTCGGATGTTAGGATGCTAGTGGATGCATAGCATCATTGGTTGCTAGAATGCTGGCAACTGACTGCATACTAGCAAATTATTATTATTATACAGGATTTATATAGCGCCAAAAGTTTGCTCAGCGCTTTACATTATAGTGGGAGACAATACAGCAACAATACAGTTCAATACAAGAGGGATAGGAGGGCCTGATCCTGGGAGCTTACAATCTAGGAGGGAGGGGCTAGTGGTACAAAAGGTAATAACTGTGGTGGATGGACTGGTTGGAAGAGTAGAGGATTCCAGTCAGGGGCGGACTGACTATTTGGAAACTTGGGCACTGCTCGAGGGCCCGGGGTCAGTAGGGGGCCCCATGAGATGCCCCTGGTACCTTTTTCATAGGCTTTTTTGAGTTTGGGCAAGGACACAGGGGCCCCATGATCCCCTATTGCCCGGGGGCCCCATGAGTTGTCAGTCCACCCCTGATTCCAGTATTAGCAGAGGGCGGGATAGGCTTCCCTGAAAAGATAGGTTTTCAGTGATCGCCTAAAAGTCAGCAGAGTAGGCGATAGTCTGACAGAAATAAGTATTCTGTGCAAGCCAGCTACCTACATCCTAATAACTGATGATGCCATTGATTGGTAGGATGTCATTGGTTATTATGGTGCACCAAAATAACCAATGGAGCTCTGCAAGAAAAAACAAAATCAACAAATGGGTTCCCCAAAAATTTGGATAAAGGGGGGCCCACACAAAAAAACAAACAAACAAAAAGCATGGTTTCCTCAAAATACATACCAGACCCCTCGGCTCAGATACAGAATAAGGTTGGCCATATATGGATAATTTTTTTTCTTTCAGCCAAGGGGCTAAATGAAAAAACAATTAACAGATTTCTCTATCCGCACAATTGTGATGAATAGAGGAATCCTCCCAACTGAGACATTGCATGTAGACTCTTCGGTGTCAGAATACACTGATCAGTGGCTTCAACCCAACATGCCGACAGGCCTATTTGACAGAAGTTGTTCGTTAGATCAATTTCTGATGAGTGGAAGCAGCAACACATGGATCAACATTTGGCTGGTCCCAGCTGAAGCAGCTGAATTTCGATCCATCTACAGTATGGCCAGCTGAAGGGGTACACAGTAACCCTGATTATTCATTCATAATAAATAAATAAATACACAACACATTTGTCAAAGTCCTTTATTTAAAAAAACAAGTCCCATGGTGTAAATCCATTGTCAGTCATGTTGTCCAGCAATGTAGATCCACCCTTGCATGACATCCTCTCCTTGTATGGTTGGGGGACCACATGCTTTCCTGGCGACCCAAGCTCAGAAAAGAGTCTGGTATGAATTATGGAGGAGGGACATGCTGTTTTTTTTTTTTTTTGCATGTGTAGAATTCATACTAGACCCTCATCAAGTTTAAGTGTCTAGTATGGATTTGTAGGGGAATCTCACTCCATTTTTTGTTAATTTTTTTCATGGTTCCCCGCATAAAATCCATACCAATCCCTCATACAGAATAAGGGTCTGATATTGATGTTGAGGGAAATGTAATTTAGCGGCAATTGAAATGTTTTTTTTTTTTAATGTCACTGTTGTTTTAGTACATATTCAGGTGTGCCATTTCATGTGCAGGTTTAAAGTGGTATTAAACCCAAAAACAAAAATTTACTAAATTGCAGCCCAGCAATTTTATAGATATGGTGGCTACATTAGTTTACTTTTTTAGGTTTAGAAAGATAGATCATTTACCACTGACAGGGGTGCTAACAATGAACAGATTTTATTTATTTATGTAAAACCTTTATCCCAAAAGGAATGTCAAGGATTTTAGAACACTACATGCCAATTACATACTAGCATTTGTGGGCATTAGTGATGTCCTCTCTTCTGAACATAGGACATATCAATGATCTGACTCCTATGGCACATTTATGCAAAAGTTTTTGTTGCCATCTATGCTTCTATACTCCTGATGAAGCCTTTCAGCGAAACAAGTTGAGTTCTGACTTGGTTTGTATTCAAGAGTATATGAAAGAGTTGAACAAAGAAAGTATGTATGACGTGATAAACCAAGAAGGACAAGTCATCAGAGGCTTTCATTATATGCTATGAATTATTCCTTTTGGATGATATAAGAATGTTGTGTATACTTTTTTATTGTGAAATGTTAGCAATATCTGTAATAAAAATAAATTTTATGGAATATTTTGTGTTGCTGATTTTGGATGGCACCGGAAAAGCCAAATACATCCTTTATCTCTGGTTTTGAGCCCCGTTATTGTAATTACTTATAAAGTGTTAGTTGAAGTTCATCTTGAATTTGTTAGTCAAGTTCATCTATACTACTGTGCAAAGGTTTTAAGAAGGTGTAAAAAATCCTGTAAAATAAAAATGCTTTCAGAAATCAATGTGTTAATAGTTTATTTTTATCAATTAACAAAATGGAAAGCAAATAAACAGAAGAAAATCCAAATCAAATCAATATTTGGTGTGACCACCCTTTGACTTCAAAACGGCATCAATTGTCTTAGGTAGGTACACTTGCACATAGTTTTTGAAGGAAGGTAGGTTGCTTCAAACATCTCGGTGAACCAAGTACAGATGTAGGCGGCCTCAAATCCTTCTTTCTCTTCATGTAATCCCAGACAGACTCCATAATGTTGATATCAGGGCTCTGTGAGGGTCAAACCATCACTTCCCAGACTCTTTGTTCTTCTTTAAACTGAACATAGTTCTCAATGACACTGGCTGTATGTTTGCGGTCGTTGTCCTGCTACAGAATAGATTTGGGGCCAATCACACGCCTCCCCGATGGTATGGCATGATGGAGAAGTATCTGCGTGTATTTCTCAGCATTTTGGAAACCACTGATCCTGACCAAATCTCCAACTCATCTTGCAGAAATGCAGTCCCGAACTTGCAAGGAACCTAAACCATGTTTCACTGTTTCCTTCTGACATTCATTATTGTACTGCTCTCCAGCCCTTCGATGAACAAACCACCTCCTGCTGCAGCCAAATATTTAAAATTTTGAGTCATCAGTCCAGAGGACCTGCACTCCAGTTCCTATGATTGTACTTTTCAACTGTCTCTGACTTTGAGGGACTGCCCCTAAATTGGAATCCTTCTGTGCCCCTTTCTCCTCATTTGTCCATCTTTTTAGTCTGATCTATATACACTATATTGCCAAAAGTATTTGTCGGCCGGCCTTTACACGCACATGAACTTTAATGGCACCCCAGTCTTAGTCCGTAGGGTTCAATATTGAGTTGGCCCCGCCCTTTGCAGCTATAACAGCTTCAACTCTTCTGGGAAGGCCGTCCACAAGGTTTAGGAGGGTGTCTATGGGAAGGTTTCACCATTCTTCCAGAAGCACATTTGTGAGGTCAGGCACTGATGTCGGGGGAGGAGGCCTGGCTCACAGTCTCCACTCTAATTCATCTCAAAGGTGTTCTATTGGGTTGAGGTCAGGACTCTGTGCAGGCCAGTCAAGTTCCTCCACCCCAAACTGGCTCCTCCATGTCTTTATGGACCTTGCTTTTTGCACTGGTGTGCAGTCATGTTGGAACAGGAAAGGGCCATCCCCAAACTCTTCCCACAAAGTTGGGAGCATGAAATTGTCCAAAATGTCTTGTTATGCTGACGCCTTAAGAGTTCCCTTCACTGGAACTAGGGGGCCAAGCCCAACCCCTGAAAAACAGCCCCACACCATAATCCCCCCTCCACCAAACTTTACACTTGGCACAATGCAATCAGGCAAGTACTGTTCTCCTGGCAACCACCAAATCCAGACACATCAAGCGTGATTCGTCACTCCAGAGAACATGTCTCCAGTGCTCTAGAGTCCAGTGGCGGCGTGCTTTACACCACTGCATCCGACGCTTTGCATTGCACTTGGTGATGTAAGACTTGGATGCAGCTGCTTGGCCATGAAGATCTCTACACACTGTTGTTGTGCTAATCTGAAGGCCAAACCAAGTTTGGAGGTCTTTAGCTATTGACTCTGCAGACAGTTGGTGACTTCTGCACACTGTGCGCTTCAGCATGCGCTAACCCCGCTCTGTCATTTTACGTGGCCTACCACTTGGTGGCTGTTGTTCCCAGTTGCTTCCACTTTGTTATAATCCCACTAACAGTGGAGCGTGGAATATTTAGTAGCCAGGAAATGTCACGGATGGACTTATTGCACAGGTGACCACCTATCACGGGACCACGCTTGGAGTCACTGAGCTCCTGAGAGCGACCCATTCTTTCACCAATGTTTGTAGAAGCAGTCTGCATGCCTAGGGGCTTGATTTTATATGCCTGTGGCCATGGAGGGGATTGGAACACCTGAATCCAATGATTTGGAAGACGGGGCCAATGCTTTTGGCAACGTTGTGTATAGAATGTACTATTTATCTTTTAAAAAGTGTTTCCCTGTGCTAAACCTTTCATTCAATATCTAAATTGTTGCATATAAAGGAATAATAGTGGTTTAAAAAAAAGCACTTGTGGGTATCACTTATCTTTTTTTTTTGTATAATTCTTCTTTAAGGGAGTGTGTGTGCGTGGGGGGGGGGGGGGGGGGTGTCTTATGACTATATACACTTGCGTCCCTCGTTCTCATCTAAAAAATTGAAAGGTATGGATGTGTGATTCACTTGTTGGATGATGCATGCAGCAGAAGTGGAAACAGAACAGGAAACTATTGTAAGGAAATAACTACAGGAGACGTATGAAGCCAGTGGGTGACTAAGCCAATGTACTCCACTAAAAATATCATGTTTGGGTGGACTGACCTTTAACTGTAAAGGCTCAATGGATGTGGTGATGATACACAAATGCAAGGAGTACGGGAAACACTCACTAGAAATGCCAGTCACCGCAGACTTAAAGTGGAGCTACACTGCACCTGAGCACCACAAACCAAAAACACTACATAACTTCCGGATGCGTTCTGGATGCGTTTTTGCATGAGTATTTTTACGCATTTTTGCCGTGTTCCGGTGCACTATTGACACATTCTAGTGAATATTTTATTAATTTTTTTTATCAATTTTTATATATAAATTTTTTAAATAATTTTTTAATATATTTTATTAATTTTCCCCCCTCTGTTTTTCTTCAATTTAAATATGGACATGTGCATTTTTGGTGCCTTCCAGTGCATTTATAATGCGTTTTACCGCATTCCAGTACACCTATGTGCACAAAAAATGCAGCATGTTCTACTTTTTTTTCCTGCAAGCACTGATGTGAACATGACATTGACAACCATATAACTTACTTTATGTGCATTTTGGATGCAGAAAAAAAGCAACTGAAACGCATGTCGTGTGAACTGGCCCTAATTCATTTTTTATATTCAAAGCAAACTCGCCCCATCCATCCATGTCTCCATGTTTTATTTTACTGACAAATCACTTTGAAAAACACTTGCCTAGCATTTCTGGCCATGGCCACCTTGAGTAAGGGCATATGATGTACCATTTCATTCCTGGAATCCATCTGCCCTTAGCTCAGGCAGAAGGGTGTGTTTAGCTGAGAAAGCCCCTCGTCCACTCCTGAATACTGATGGGATATATAATATAATTTGCCTAGACTAGAAAGCAGGAAGTAACTGAAGAATTGTAAGAAAAAAAAAAATTTAAACTAGTAAATATGATATACTTTCCTAAATATTTTCTAAGGATAGAAGCATAAGGATTAAAAACAGCTAATGTTTATTGAGATTGAAGTTGTGCTTTAAAGTTCTTCTGTGGCCAAAGTTGCACCTCCTCTGATCAATTTATTACTAGCTGCAAGGTTGGATTCTGAAGAAGAAGGATGAAGTCTGAAGAAGGAGCCTATTGAGCATGCTCCGAAATGCATTACGCCCCCTTCACCTCCTACATCCGACTCTGCTCTCCTAGCTTCATTTTTGATGCACAGGCACATCCTGGACTCTACTTCCTGATCCTATAGACAGAGTTTTGCTGCTGGATGGCTGGATGTCCCACCTGGATCTAATCACCACACGATGAGTCTTATTAACTATTTATCTTGTAAGTGCAATTTATCTATTGTTTACTATTAAATTGTCAATGCTGCACTTAGAGGCACCTTCATCTCTTTTTCTTGTTACTGCATTAGAGCCTTGCTTCTACTCTAAGAAGAGCTGCCTCAGTGTTACTGCTCCCATCCATCCATCCCTGATATCCATCTGGCACCTTTATCTTACAGCTACAGAGGTTGGGCTCCAACAAACGCGCCATATATAATATACACTTTAACCTCCCTGGCGGTATGATTATTTCAGATTTTTGGTGCTGAAAGCGGTACCATTTTTTTGCATGGAAATATGTATTTTTTTTATTGTAGGCTGTAATTTTTAGGAATAACTCACTGAAATCTGTCCGAACAAGAGTCTAGTAAACATCCCGGGTATGATAAAACTTGAAACACGAAATCATAAATTATAATTTAATAAATAATCATAAAAAATAATAATAAAATAATAATACATTTAATTCAATAATATAATCAAACCGAAAACACTGAAATTTGAAATAGAGCGGCAAGTTTGTACATTGCTGAGCAAAGTCGCAGAATCGTTTTCAGTGTCTGATGACGAATTTCCCCCACGAATCATTATCACTCAATTCTGCAAGTGGTTCTGATTTACTATCGCTGTTCTCTAGCTGATCTAAAACCGCTTTTGACCTAAAGGGACGCTTTTTGGACGCCATGGACGTTTCTCAGTTTCCAGGCAGAAAGAACAGACAAAATGCAGGCAGGTCGCCAGACAAAGCAGTAGGGACAAAATGTATGTGAAATGGGTTGAAACAGCAATGTTTTACTATGAAAAATGTGTTTTGAAAAAAATGAAATTTTTTTAAATTTTCAAATTTGCCGCCGCCACCGGCGCCCGTACGTCTCGACGTCACAGGGAACGGAACACAGAAGCCGGATGCCGGCATGGGCCGGAGGAGATGGCTGGGGACGCTGCAGGGGACACATCGCGGGAGCAAAGGACAAGGTAAGCGCTGTAGGGAATCCCTGTGCAGCGCCGCATGGTAAGCCCGAGTGTAGCTCGGGGTTACCGCTTTTGGTACTGAAACTTTCCCCCGAGCTACACTCGGGAATACCGCCAGGGAGGTTAAGTTGGATTCACAGCCTTTTATTTATTGCATTGTTTTCAATTAAACGGGCTGCCAACACCCCAGAAAAGACCGAAAATCAGACATGCATCGCTTCTGCTGACTGGATGTGCAATATGGTGCGCTGCAATGCATGTGTGTCAGAAGTGCGTTGGACTACCATTGACATTGCAACACGTTGCATGTAACATCTGTCAAGCTATGTTGCAGTAATGCATCTTACCACAACACAAGAGTGTGATTGGATGCTTAAAGTAAGGTGCACATACACCTAGTGACATGGCAGTCATGTTTTTCTGTTTTTGTACAATATTCTCTATTGCAAAAATATAATAATACAGAAAATTAAAAAAAAAAAAAAGGTAAGGTGCACATAGGCAGGGCAGTTCACAGAGTCCTCCAGCATATGGAGCCAGCCAGAAAATCACAGAAAGCCTAAAATGTTACAGCAATTTGTTTTTGGTTTACGTTGGATACATTTGCAACTATATGTGAAGCCGCACTGCCACGTCAAGGCCCCCCTGCAAAGTGCGGTCCCTAACTCTAATGTCATTTCCAAATCGTGACATACATAGCAAGAAATACCGTATTTTTCGCTCCATAAGACGCACCTGACCATAAGACGCACCTAGGTTTTAGAGGCAGAAAACAGGAAAAAAAATTCTGAACTAATGGACTGCAGACATAGTACAGGAGATGACCAGAGACTGCGGACACAGTACAGGAGATGACCAGAGACTGCGGACACAGTACAGGAGATGACCAGAGACTGTGGACACAGTACAGGAGATGACCAGAGACTGCGGACACAGTACAGGAGATGGACCAGAGACTGCGGACACAGTACAGGAGATGACCAGAGACTGCGGACACAGTACAGGAGATGACCAGAGACTGCGGACATAGTACAGGAGATGGCCAGAGACTGCGGACATAGTACAGGAGATGACCAGAGACTGCAGACATAATACAGGAGATGACCAGAGACTGCGGACACAGTACAGGAGATGACCAGAGACTGCGGACACAGTACAGGAAATGACCAGAGACTGCGGACACAGTACAGGAGATGACCAGAGACTGCAGACATAGTACAGGAGATGACCAGAGACTGCGGACACAGTACAGGAGATGACCAGAGACTGCGGACACAGTACAGGGATGACTAGAGGCTGCGGACAGCACAGGAGATGACCAGAGACTGCGGACAGTACAGGAGATGACCAGAGACTGCGGACACAGTACAGGAGATGACCAGAGACTGCAGACAGCACAGGAGATGACCAGAGACTGCAGACAGTACAGGAGATGACTGCTGACCTTTGGGGAGGGGGGGGAGCGGGTACCTGAATTTGACAGGTACCCGCTCTTACTTCCGCTGAGTTGTTCTTTGATCTTACCTGTTCCTCTATCCAGCTGCGCGCTGTCTACCCGGCTTCTGTAGTGTGGGCGCTCGGCGGACAGCCGGATGCCCAGTGCGCATGAGCGAGAAGTGCTGCGCTTTGTGATTGGTCCAGCGGCTTCTGGGATCTGTCATGTGTCCCAGGTACCGCCTTACCATTCACAAAGAGCACCGCTTCTTGCGCATGCGCACTTGGCACCCGGCTGTCACGCACACTACAGAAGCCGGGAAGACAGCGCGCCGCTGGATAGAGGAACAGGTAAGGTCCCACTACAGAGCTGAGCGGCCAGCCCGGTATTCTGACACGGCGGCGGTGGAAATACCGGACTGGCCGCTCCATATTTGCTCCATAAGACGCACTGACATTTTCCCCCCTTTTTTGGGGGGAAGAAAGTGCGTCTTATGGAGCAAAAAATACGGTACATTCAGAGTCTAAACTAGTTCTAGAGTTCATTCAAACGCAATTCGTATTGTAGTTAATTATAGACAGTCTAAAACATGACTGAAAAAATAATACCAGCCTACAACCCCCCCTCAGAGCCGGTCCAGCACACGTCTGTGAAAAGAAGTACTGCCTTCAACCTCTCCTCATAGCAAGTTAAGCGCCTGCCTGGAAAAAAGTGCCGGCTTCCAACCTCCCCTCATAGCCGATCCAACACACACCTGAAAAAAAAAAGACTATTGGCCTCCAACCTCCTCTCATAGCAAGTTAATTGCACGCCTGAAAAAAAGTACTGGCCACCAACCTACCCTTATAGTCAGTCCAATACACGCCTGAAAAAAAAACTCCAACCTACTCTCATAGCCGGTTCAACACA